TGGGTGGCACAGGCTTTGTTAAGTGTCCGACTCTTGATTTCAGCTCAGGTTGTGATCTTAGGGTCGTGAGACAGAGCTCCGCATCAAGCTCTGCGTTGAGCCCTGCGTTGGGCTCAGTGTGGAGTCTCCTTGAGATTCTTTTTTCCTCTCCCTCTGCCCCTCCCGCTTTGCTCACTCTCTAAAATAAATCAATCTTAAAAAAGAAACCGATGTCAGGTAATGAATGAAAGCTTAATTCGAAGAGGTGAACTCTAAGAAAATGTAGGGAGCAAAAGGAAATACATTGATTTCATCATTTTGTTCATTTTAGGGACAGTAATAGATACTGTTCCAAAGAAATAGAGATCAGGGTATTATTTAAAGTTACAGCATTAGAACAAAAACAACCTTCTTTATGATTAGTGGGTACACAGTGCAGCACAGATCACATAAAGACAGACTTCTTAAGATTTATTTGAGAGAGTGAGCAAGAGAAGCAGACTCCCCAGTGAGCCCGACACGGCTCAATCTCAGGACCCTGGGATCATGACCTCAGCTGAAGGCAGATGCTTAACCAACTGAGCCACCCAGGTGCCCCGAGAGAGACTTTTCAAAGCAATTAAAATAAAGCACAAAATAGATCAGACACTTGTCATATCAATAAATGTAAATGGGCTAAAACATTAAAAAAATTTTAAAAAGCCATTCAGATTTTCTCACAAAGCTTAATCCAGCTCTACGGTATATGAGTCACATCTAAACCAAGTAATTTAGAAAGGTTGAAATGAAAGGATTGGTAAAGTTTCAAGGAAAATGTGAATCAAAAAGGCAGAGGTTACCATCATATTAAGTATGGCCAAGAAAGACGCAATTCACTATAAAGATTTAAAGTATTACTATCTCTGTGTTAAATGACATTGCATCACCATGCATAAGGCCACAGCTGTAGATGCTGCAAGAAGAGATAGACTGGGAACAGGTGAGTAGTAGGTGTCTAATTCATTTCTCCATCCATGACAGGTAAGCAAGGATATGGAAGACATAACTAACATAATTAATGGGAGAGATACAATTTGTATACACCAAACTTTGAATCCCCAAAATAGCCACACTTCTTTCCAAGTCCCATTTGAAAAGTCACAAAACTCACAAAAACTGATTACACCACAAAGAAAAATTTAAGTCCAAAAAAGAAATCATGGACAACATTCTCTGATCATAATGCATTGTAACTAGAGATAATGAATTACAAAAGCACCTACTACCTGAGTGGATAGGTGGAATTCAAATGAGCCTTAGGTCAAAGAAGAAATCAAAATTAAATTATAAGAGATTTTAAAAATAATGATAAAAATACCTTCTATTGGAACCTATAGGACACAACTAAAGCAGTGCTCGGAGAATTCATAGCTTTAATATTTTTTTCTTTTCTTGTTTATCAGTATAAAGAATTAACCCACTAACTCAAATTTTTTAAGAAACAAGGAAAGTACAAAGAAGATTTAAATACTAATAAAAGCATAAATTAATAAATTAGAAGGCAGAAAAGGGTAATTACTAATAGATTTCAAAGATGGATCTTTGGGAAGGGGAGGTTGGTAACCTCTTAGCTAACTAACCTAATCAAGAAAAATGGGGAATGGGTTTGGGGAGGGAAGCACGAAATGTACAAGAAATAAGGATGAAATAATCACTTAAAAACGGTAAATTAATTTGTTCAACCTCATGCAAGTAAATTTGACAGCTGGATAAAATGAATACTTTTCTAGACAGACATAATTTACCAAACTCATTCAAGGAGCAGTAGAACAATTATAACAGACCAATTATTATGGAAGAATCAAAGAGCTCCCACCCCAAAGAAAGGCACTGGCCCAGACTGTTTCATGGAGGATCAACTAATCTTTAAAGAACAGATAATCCATTTCTACTTAAACTATCACAAAGCATAGAGAAAGAAGGGAAGCCTCCATTTTCTTTATGAGGCAAGCATAACACTGATCATGAAACCCAACAAAAATTGTTCCAAAAAACTGAAAACTAATCTCACAGATGAAACTGCGGCAAAACCCCTAAGTAGCCAAGCCAATCCAGCACTGTATTGAAATATTCACCATGACCAACTGGGATTCAACCAGGAATGCAAGGATAGTTTGATGTAAAGGGATCTTCTATCATTATTCCTATTACATGATTAAAGGAAAAAAACATTGTCTTCATAGACACTGAAAAGGCTTTTGGTAAGCTTCAACTTCCATTCTTAATTTTTTAAAATTCTTAATAAAACAGGAATACTCAGACACTTATTTAACCTGATAAAACATCTGCCCCTGAAACCAGCATTTTGCATGATGGGGACATCCTAAAAGCTTCTCATTAAAGTCAGGAATGAAGCAAGAGTGTCCATTATCACCATTATTTTTCATTGTTCCAAGGATCGCAGCCAACACTATTAAGTAAGACAAAGAAATTAAGGTATAAAACTTCCAAAGTAGGAGGTAAGGTTATCATTTGCACATGATAAAATAGAGTAATTGGAAAATCTAAGAAACCAAATGGAAAAACTATTACAAACAATAAAAGAATTCAGTAAGGGGGCAGGAGTTAATAGCCTTTATATAAATAACCTCCATTTCAGGAAGAAAACACTAGCCAAAAAAAGGGGGTAACTACCCAGAATTAAACTTTTAAAATATGCAAGATCTAGATGAAGCAAATATTAAAACATTCCCAGAGACACACAAAAGTCTGAACAAACTGATGGTCCTAGAGGGCATCAACATAAAAAAATTGCTTCCTGAATTATAAATTTCATGCAAGCCCAGAAAAAAAACAACAGGATTTTTGTTCTTACCCAGATGAGTTGATTCTATAGTTCAGGCAGAAAAATAGCCAATTTCCACTTCTAGAAATTTAGGGTGGGGGGCCTAACAAGGAACAACAAGCACCACCAAATATTAAAAGGTGTTATGTGCATGATACAATGCAAAGGAACCTTGAAAACATGCTAAGTGAAAGAAGCCAGTTGCAAAAGACCACATGCTACAGGGTTCCCTTCTTAGGAAAGTCCAGAATAGGGTAAGGGGTTTCTTCTTGAGGTGATAAGAATGTTCTAAAAATGACTAGGGTGACGGATACAAAATTCTGTAATATACTAAAAACCCTTAATTGTACATGTCACATGGGTGGGTTTTATGGTATATGAATTCTATTTCAATAAAGTTAAAATTTTGAATGCATTATAACTCTGTAACAATTAAAACAGCATTGCCCTAATGACTTGCGTATGCTTGGATCCATACCTTACACTTTATACCATGTATTTAAAAAATTAAACTATAAAAAAACTAGAAGAAAGCCTGGGGAACTTCAAAAAAAAAAAAAAAATCTCAGCATGAGGAAGGACATTCTAAGTATGACACAAAATCCAAAGGCCCTAAAAGGAAATACAGATTTCACTTCACAAAGACATGGCAGAATCAAAGACAAATGATAAATTGGGGAAACCATATGCAATTCAGATGACAGAGGTCTAATTCCGCAATATACAAAGAGCTCCTATAATTCAATAAGGACAAAAAACCACCCAATTGAAAAAACGGACCAAGGAGATGAATAAGGTCAAAGATAAAACAAATGGCCCCAACATGAAAAGATAGTCATCCTCATTCATGTTAAACTTAAAACCACACTGTGATCCTACTTTCACTGATGAGGTGACCCAGCCTAGAAGTCTGATACCATGCTGTGATGGTGAGGGTGTGGGCAAACAGGCTGTCTCACCCAGAGTCATCTCAAGATGTTCCTCAGACTACATCTATCAAAAGTACAAAGGCAGAGAACTTTGACCCAGTATTTCCCTTTCTAGAAGTTTATCTTGTAGATTTATTCACATCTCTCTCTCTCAAAATCTAAAAAAAAAAAAATTATAAACACCTATTAAGAAAGGAGAAAGAGCAACAGTGTAAAAGCACAATGATGAAGGGCAACCAATCTCGTGCTATAGGACAGCACCAACAGGGAGCTAGCTGTCCCCCTACCCTTTTTCTTACAGAGAGAGCAAGCGCACGCACATGAGCCAGGGGGTGAGAGTGGGGGGGATGACTCTTAAGCAGACTCCACCATGCCCAGCGTGGAGCCAACATGGAGCTCGATCTCACAATCCTGAGATCATAACCCGGAGATCATGACCTGAGCTGAAATCAAGAGTCGGACGCTTAACTGGCTGAGCCACCCAGGTGTGCCCCGATAGCTGTCCCCTTTGAAGAGACAATAATAGTTCATTTCTAACTGAGAGCTGCAGTTTAAGAACCCAGGCCTATGTTACCAGATCCTCTGATTTTTTTTTTTTTCAAGAGACATTATAAATCCAGATTATTATGCAAATCTCCCTGTTTTTCAAATGTTTCCAAATACTTCAAATTACAAAAAAGACTCTATTGTGGCTAAAAAAAAAATCAGATCAGAGGGTTTGGTATTCCTGTCCTAGATGGTCAAGGAAGACAGACCCCTGGAGATCACCAAGTCCAGCTCCCTAATTTGACACACTGAAAAAGCAAGCCCCAGAGAGGGGAAAGACATGCCCAAGATCACACAGCAAATCAGGCCCCAAGCTGGGATATCACTGAGGACTATGTGCTTCCACATTGTCCTCTTTGCCATCAGTGCCAGAAAATCATGGTAGGTGAGACAGACATGGTGCATCGTGGGGTCCCAGGCAGGGGGCTGGGGTTGGGGTCAGAGGGGATCCTGGGAAGGAGGTCACACTCCATGGGAGTCAGCCAAAGGGGGTGGGTGCCACTGTGGGGGAGGGGGTACAGCACAGGCAAAGGCCTAGACCACGGAGAGCTCTGGGCAGGATTGTGGTGGGTGGATGTTCTGGGGTTCCGGTGGCATTCCCTGCTGGGATCTGCCCCACAAAGGCCTGAGGAGAGAAAAGCTGGGTGTGGACTCAGTGGGCAGAGGCAGGGGACAGGGGCGGGGGCTGGAGAGGCATGAGCAGGGGGAGGGCGTGCACTCACACTTTCGGAGCTCCAGGCTCTTGCTCGGGCAGGCCAGGTGTTGGCCCGGTGGGTTCTGGGTCCTCTGGAGACAGGCCAGCATGGCGGAGCTGGGGGCCCGCGGTGGGGCACACCGAGCAGCAGGGTCCCTGTGAGGAGGGAGATGAGGTGCTTGTCACTCGGGCTGCTCCGTGCCCGCCTCCCACTTCCCCCAGCTACTTCCAGCAGCCTCCCCACTACCCAGCAGATCACTGGAGACTCTCAAAGCAGATACCCCTTCTCCCTTATCTGACAGATGAGGACGCTGAGGCCTAGAGGCACCAAAGGAAAGAAAGGAAAAGAATCCAGATCTCGAGTGGTGGATTTCCACCGTGTCGGGGCCAGAACTGACCGGTCCCACATGCCCTGGCCCTGCTCACTGTGTGGGTCACCTCCTCCAAGAGGCTGCCCCGATGCCCCCAGGCCTGGTTAGATCCTCACCCCCTCCCTGTTTCCTCAGCAGGTTGCCCTTCCAGCCAGGCGTGGCCTGTGGCTCTCCTGTCACCACCTGTGAGTGGGTCTGTCCCTGCTCTTCAGTTTTGAGCTCATGGAGAGCAAAGACGCCATGTAGTCACCTTTGGAAGCTACACGGGGTGGGGGTGGGGCGCCCACGAACTGCCAGTAGGCGTATGGGTGTTCCAGTGTACTGAAGTGTTGTTCTCGAGCATTCTCACAGCACCCCTACAGGGAGATATCCAGGACGGCATCCCTGGGAGAATGCAGTCTCCAACCCTGAGCAGTGCTGAGCCTGAGCCCTGAGCCCAGGTCCCAAGGGCCACCAGGGTTCCCAGAACGCAGAGCCCCTATGGGGCAAGGTGAACATGGGGCAAGGTGAACACAGGCCAGCTGGGGCTTGCCCTGGAGGCCATGAAGAGAGGGCGGGGATTTCTCTGCAGGGCCCCTCCCTTCCTCTCTTCCAGGTAAGGAGCCAGAACCAGCAGCCAGACAGCCCTGATGTCCACCCAGCCCGACCCGAACCCACCCCCACAAGTGTCCTGAGCAGCCAAGCTGGGCCAGCTCAATCCTCCTGCCAGTTCTTAAAAAAAGGAAGAAAGACGTGGGTGGAGGGGTTGGGGGGATGTTTAAGGGGAAGAAAGGGGAGTTATTTAATACTAAACAGGTGTCTGGAGCCCTTAAATTCTGCTGCTTTCTTCTAATAATGAAGTATTCATGAGGAAAAGCCTTTTTTCACTACTTTCTTAAGATACTAATTTCACAACAAGCTCCTTGTTACGGCGCAATTATTCCAATCTTGAATTTCCCCGAGACGGTTGCAGCCTCCTGTCTGTCCTGACCTCTCGGTAAATGAAAGACAATCACGTAACCACCTTTCATTATGCTCTATTTTACTTTCAGCAAAGGTACCCTGAAAGAAATGATTTACTCTGAAAGGGACTTTTATTCAGTTTCAAAACCAATTTTCTCCTATTACTGTCTCAAAAAAAAAAAAAAAAAAAAA